TTTGGTAGCATTTCTTGATCCAGGATCTGCTAGCCCTTTTATAGCCCTTTTACCTCTCCCTAAAATTCCTCATCCAATAATTAGGTGGTCTAATTAGCTACCCTCTCACTGAATTTCTTTTGAAATCGTTAGGTATGGCGAGTGCAGAATTTGAGGCCGCCGTGGCTCAGTCGTTGCCTCCGTCGACGCTGCCCCAGTATCCGGAGGTACCACCACAAGAACCGCTTCGTTTTTTTTTTTCATTATTTTTTTTCCTAAGGAAATGATATTCAACTTGAAATTTCTTGTTCCCTTTAGATGATAATGGCAGCAATTAAAGGTCTGAGCGAGAAGAACGGGTCAAATAAGTCGTCGATCTCCAAGCACATCGAGGCCACCTACGGGAACCTGCCGCCGGCGCACTCCACGCTGCTCACCCACCACCTCAACCGGATGAGATCCACCGGCCAGCTGCTCTTTGTCAAGAACAACTACCTCATACCCGACCCGAGTGCGCCGCCACGCCGCGGCCGCGGCCGTCCCCCGAAGCCCAAAACCCCTCTGCCGCTTGGCGCCGCCCCCCACCCGCCGCGCCCGCGCGGCCGGCCACCTAAATCCGCCCGAGACCCGACATCTCCTCCGCCGCCTCCCAAACCCAAGGCGGCGGGTACGTTGTCTGGGAAGAAACGTGGCCGGCCGCCGAAGGCTGCCGCCGGGGTTGGGGCTCCGGTGCGTCCTCCGGCCGCCGAAGGTGTACCTCGCGGGCGTGGGAGGCCGCCGAAAGTGAAGGCAGCTGCGACTGCGCCTGTGTGGGCTTGATTGAATGATGACAAGTTAGTATAGGGGCTTTAGTGCTAATTTGTTGTTCTTCATTTCAAAATTTGTTTAGTTTAAGGTCATTTGTAGTTTGGAGTTTGATTTAGGGTTAGTGGGGTGGCAAGCGGACGATTGATGTAACTTTTCTGTAAATTGAATGGTGACTCGGAAGGCTGAAATGATTTATTATGTGATTCAAAAACTAGATTTCCTTTTCATATTGTTTTGTTTCTTGCCCAACTTTGAATAGATTAAATTTGGTCAACTTTTTGTTAAATATTTATGATTTGGTGATCATAGTCGGATCTTAGAGGTATCGGTTTTGCTATGTAGGCATCACATAACTCGGCTTATGGAGTCATTCACAATTATTGACAAGTAGTTTATTGACGCGTGTCTTGAAATAAATACACATTGAACATGTGTCAGTATAACAAATTATGGATGACTCTATAAGGAAATCATCTGGTGCCTCCATAGACTTTTTTTTAGAGATATATAGATCAAATTCTTTTGAAAATTTTATTTGTAATTTTATGATTATTTGAATCGTGAATTTTGATTTTTTTTTTTAAAAAAAATAAAATAAAAATTATCATGTTCTTTATGATTTATTTGAATTTTTTATATATTTACTGTGGTATTGAGTCATTAAATTCTAATATTAGGGCATCTCCAATGGTAATAGCTATTACTAGCTATATGGTTAGCTGATGTGGATGTGAGAGATAAGAAAAATAACTATTTTACACTATTGGACCCACATACTCCTCTCACATGATCTTGGACTACGTGAAATAGATAAGCTATTTGTTAGTAGCTAGTGACTACTCTCTCTCTTACTTTTTCACTGTCCACGTCATAATAGTTAGCCAAATAGCTAACCATTGGAGACGCCCTTAGCATATTAAGGAGAACAATGAGAGTAAGTGATATTTTTTAATATATAAGTGTAAGTGAAAAATTTTAACATCGAGATTTTGGAGTATAAGAGTACATGAAAAAAATATAACGTTGATCAAAAGACTAATTGATGTTTTTAAAGAGTAAATTAGTGATGTGGTAACCAATAGATCAAGAAATTCTTTAAAAACTATAATTAACACAAGAAATTATAACTTAAATTAATAACTATTGTAAAAATTGATTTTAGTTATTGATTTTTATTTTTCAAATTTTTTTCATTTATTCTATCCATCATATTGCTTACAATAATTTTTTTATGAGATATGTGCACACTAAATAAACATTGGATAGTTTAAATCACGTACATTAAAAGCCTTACAGATATTTTTATATTGAACTAGTGCGTGGCCCGTGCAATGCACGGGAAAACAATATTACGATTATATTATAAATTTAATATATAAATAATATTGATCATGATCTACCCATTGTTTTAAATTAAACAGGGTTGGACACAGTCCGACCGAATAGACGTAGAACCGATTTATAATTCGCTTGAATACAATATTTGCTATTGAATCCGTCAACACCAGTCGATTAGACTGGTAGGATCGATATTTTAAATATCACCTAAAAGTAATTCAATCAACCGGGGCAATACCCTAGTTCAATCACCCGATTGATTCAAAGAAATTTCCTTATTTCTTGTAAATATATTTAATTTTATGAAATAAAAATATTTTATGATTCATATAATAAATGTCTACATTAAATGATAGTATATTAAGATTATAAATTATATATCTAAAGATGAATTAATTATTTTAATTATGCATATTAATAAAAAATTAAACATAGTGATTTTCAAAAAAATAATATTGATTGATTGATTATCAATTTAAAGAATATTTTTAGCGTTCAATATTTGTTTGAAAGGCACAAATATAAAGACCGAGATTCTAAAACATCTGTTATATTTTGAATTGAGATTTTATAAATATAGAGATTGGAATTTTAACGTTGTTCCTTGCTTCTAAAAAAATAAAATAAAATAAAAAAACATGTACACTTAAAATAACTTATCCAGATTTTTTAAATAATAAAATGAATTAAAGACCGAAATTTAAGGTAACATTTAATGTTGTATGATTTTTAAAGAAAATAATAATAAAATTAATGAAACTTACTATTTATAAGTTGCATTAAATGTTAACCTATATTTTTGCTACCATTTTTGGTAAATAGGATGACTTTTTATATATATAGATATAGAGGGTGTTACTAATTACCGCTCTCCCTATTACTAGTTACCGCCCCCCTTGGACGATTTTGCCTTTTTCATTTTTCCCCACATCAAAATGAGCTCTTCTTCTGAGGTAATTTTTTTTTTCCCGTCCGGCCGACGAAACCGGACGGAACCAGGCCTGTCCAACTGACCGAACCGGACGGCCTTAATGGCGTCTGGCCGGATCGGCCGGACAACAACGGACACAGACTGTTTTTATGGCCGTACGCATCGGTCTGTGTCCAGACAGACCGGCTGTACGGCCCATGTGGTGTCCGGCGGCGACGGCCGGACATAGCCGACCCGTCCGGACACCTTTTTTTTTTAAATAAATATTATTAGAATTTATTTTGTTATAGAAATTATTATTGTGGTATAAATTCGAAATATTTATGTTATAAATTGGACGTTAGATATTATTGCTTTAGGGATTAGAAATTATTATGTTATCGAGTCGAAATAATTATGTTATAAATTGGACGTTAGATATTATCTCTTTAGGAATTATAAATTATTATATTATCGAATCAAAATAATTATGTTATAAATTAGACGTTAGATATTATCGCTTTAGGAATTATAAATTATTATATTATCGAATCGAAATAATTATGTTATAAATTGGACGTTAGATATTATCCTGTTAGGAGTTAGAAATTAATTAAATTTGTGTATCTATAAATTGAACGTTAGATATTATCGCGTTAGGAAATAGAAATTATTATGTTGTACAATTGAAATAATTATGTTATAAATTGGACTTTAGGAGTTCGACATAATTATGTTATAAATTGAACGTTAGATATTATCACTTTAGGAGTTAGAAACTGGCGAATCACGAGATTAATTCGCGAGTCGCGAGTGTATTCGCGGCTCGCGACTGTATTCGTGACTCGCGAGATGAATTCGCGAGTCGCGACTCGCGAGATGAAGTCGCACAGCGCGAATTTTGGATATTTTGGCTCTGTCAAACTCGCGACTCGCGACTTTTGGCTCGCGAGTCGCGAGTTGGACAGAGGCAAAAGTGCCAGAATCTCGCGACTCGCGACCTCGTCTCGCAAGTCGCGAGGGTACTCGCGAATGAACTCGCGACTCGCGACTGCCCTTGCGACTCGCTACTTTCGGCTCGCGAGTCGCAAATTTTGGCTGTTTTGGCTCTTTTAAACTCGCGAGTCGCGTTAGGAGTTATAAATTGAACTTTAGATATTATCGTGTTAGGAGTTATAAATTATTATGTTATATAGATTATAATTTAACATGTTTGAAATATTGTAATATATTGCAGGTGTCATTGGAAGATTTTGGAGGAGATGGTATTGATTACAGTTCTGCTTTCAGTACAACTACATTTTTTGTTAGTGATGAGGCTGCAATTGATGATGCAAAAAGTACGGCACTTCTGAATGGTTTCAATTTGACTATTTCGAAACACACAAAAGGAGGAAGATTGAAAATCTTGAAGTGCAAACGAGGCGAACGTTATAGAGGCAAGAAGAAGGTAGATGTTGCTTCTAGAAAATCGAAAACCAACAAGTGCCAGTGCCCTTTTGAGATAAGAGTAAAGCGGGTGCCTGGAACGCAATTCTGGATGATCCACAAGTGTCTAAACGAAGAGAAGGGCTTCCACAATCATTCATTTGTTGTGTATCCCGAGGGTCATCGACAGTCGAGCGGCATCAGCCAGTCATCAAAGAAGATTATTCGTGATATGACTGCTGCGCAGGCGACACCAGCAAATATTTTGGCCGCTGTCCAGGAAAAAAATCCAGGAGATCACGCGACTTTGCGACATATATATAACTATAGAGACATGTTGCGCAAGGAGTATTTTGAGGGTAGAGACGTTACTATCCAGCTTCTACATTTGGCTAGGAGCAGCAGCTATATAGTTTATACAGATGTCCATCCGAACACAAATGCCTTGACACACATATTCATGGCCCATCCTGATTCAGTCAGACTATTCCGGACATATTATTTGTATGTCGGCATAGATTCCACCTACAAAAACCAACATGTGTGTTAATTTATAAATATGTTATTAGTATGAATATAAATTAATATGTTCGATTAAATTTTATGAGATTATATTTTTTGGTCTCACTTGCACAGGTACAAGATGTTGTTGGTCGAGATGATTGGCATGACTCTGTGCAACAATAACTTCTTGATTGCGTACGCACTAAGGACGAGAAAGAGGCAAGTTATGATTGGGTTCTCCATAAGCTGAGACTTCTGATAGGCTCTGAGGTAAGAATAAAATATTTAATTTTATTAGTAATAAAAGTATTTTGTGCAATATAGTAAAAATATTTCAGCAATTTTTGCTCTGTCTCATTAATATTTTTGTATCCGCCGCTGCTTAGGTACATCCAAATGTGGTTGTCACTGACAGAGAGTTGGGCTTAATGACTCCTATTAGGAGGAACTTTCCCCAGTCTGCCCACTTACTCTGCACGTGGCACATCAACAAGGATGTGGAAGACAGACTCTACATGCTGCTTGGAAAAAATAAAAAAATTAGCTCAGAGTTTCTTGCGCGGTAGGTGGAAGGCGATTGCCGATGCCGGTACGGTTGATGAGTACGACACGATCGTAGCTCAATTGCATGTCAAATACCGAAATCATGTAGAAGTGTTAGATTATGTCGAGGGGACTTGGTTAGTCCACAAGGAGAAGTTCGTGAAAGCTTGGACTAACCGGGTAACACATCTTGGCAACACAACTTCATGTAGGGTGAAGAGTGCACACTATGTGTTGAAGCAGTGGCTTCGAACGTCGACCGGCGTGCTCGATATAGTGTGGCAGAAGA